GCCTTCCCACCTTTCCTTGAAAAACCAATTACTCTCGCTTCTTCCACTGCTCATTCTGGTCCTAGCAGCCCCCGGGCCGCGGTGTCTTCGGAGGCGACAGCCGCTGCATCTCCCAGGCCCTCTGCCTCCCAGCTGTCGGGGAACCAGAGAGGAGCTCGGGAAAGAGCACGCGCACCTGGTAGGCCAGGCATCGAGTTTCGGCTTTTCAAACCGATGGGCCCGAGGGGCCTTGAAGGTTGAGGCGAGGCATGGACGCGGAGAGCTCGAAACACCCAAACAAACAGCTTCCGATAAAGTCGCCTGCCGCACAACACACCGAGGCACGCGAACCATCGCGAAGAATGAGCAGCCAGCTGCAGCAAGTGGCAGCTCTTGGCCCGAGGGATGCTGCTTGTTGATGGGCAGAGTCACTAAGTTAATTACTAGCCACTGCATCGAGAATGGAAGCTTTTCAACCCCGAGCCCATCACAGCTACTGCAGCATGCAAGCGCATTGACCCCGCATGGATGCGAACTCAGCACCTGAAAGTCTTTCACCAACATGCGCGTGCAGTGTCACCGCAGCCCTAGCCTCGTGCCACAGCCCAGAAGCGCCTACTCAAGGAACCTCCCGCCACCGGAGCCCTAAACCGAAACAGCTTTTTGCAGAACAACATAAGGGTTCTAATCACCCTCAAGAATTACTCATCCGTAGTCCTAAACCCTAAACCCTAAACCCCTAAACCCTAAAACCCTAAACCCTAAACCCCTAAACCCTAAAACCCTAATAAACCCTAAACCCCAGACCCCCAAACCCTAAACCCCCTAAACCCTATTCTCTCTTCACGGCTCCTGCTTGAGCGCCTTTCCCGCCGGGCCCTCGCTGGCCGCATTCCGCTTGGCCTGCCCGGGCCTGCTGGCTTTGGGATTGGGAAGTTTAGGGTTTAGGGTTTAGGGTTTAGGGCCTATCAGGGGGGTTGATGGCTTAGGGTTCGGGGTGCTCGGCAGGAAGAAGACTCTGGCTGTTCGGCTCAGTACGACACGACAGGAATACACGAGCACAGCAAGATTGAAGCCCCTGAGGGAGAGCACTGCTGCGACAGGCACAGCCTCAAGCGCTTCTTGCCCTTCTTCTTGGCCTGCAGGCAGAAGGAAACAGTGCAACATGCACTCCCCCGCGATGGAACCTCTGCAATAGATATCAAAACTGTTTCACCGCTTATTGAGAAACGATACACAAGAAGCTCCGCAACTCATCCTAGGCCCCCCAGCATCCTCCGACCGATGCCCCCAACCCTGAATCTAGAACATGCCATGTCAAGAGTCTATACACCACACACACCCGGAAGCTGAAACCCGAAACGCATGAAAACCCTACAAAGCAACCCCCTGCTTAGCCCCTGCTTCTTAAATAGGAGACCCTAATATAGTACCCCAAATAGTAGGACCATTATTATAAATGACCCCAAATAGTAGGACCATTATTAGAAAGGACCCCACATAGTAGGACCCTTATTATACAGGACCCCAAAGTAAGGTACCCCCTTATTTGTGGCCTGGCCAAGGACTGGCGCCGGCTTCGGCGCAGGCGTTGCGGCGGCAGGGGCCGGCAGGCCCTTGGCCCTGGGAGTTTAGCTTCGTGAAATGAAAACTTAGGGTTTAGGGTTTAGGGTTTAGGACTAGGATGGTTTAGGGTTTAGGGTTTAGGGTTTAGGACTAGGATGGTTTAGGGTTTAGGGTTGAGGGTTTAGGGTTTATGGTTTAGGTGTCAAACATGTTTGGCATTACGGACTTGTGAACGTTGCGTCTCTGGTTGTTGCTCCCTGCAGTCAGGCTTTTGGGAGCAACGGCCAGCATCCACAACAACCACCGGGACCGTGCAACGCAAACAGCATCCTGCAGAAATCTGTCTCAGCATCATCGGCACGAGACTCTCTACATCATCGTAAAGCCACAAACTAAGGACCGGAAAACACACAGGTTTAGCAACAAGGCCAGTGCCAGCATCATCAGCATCAGTGCGCCTACCTCTTCGAACATCCCCAACAGACGTCCAGCACCATCAGCATCAGCTTGTCTACATCCTCGAATACCCACCAACGAGGGCCAGCATCATGAGCATCAGAGTGTCTGCATCTTCGCCGACCTTACAACAAAGGCTAGTCGCTCGCGTCATCAGCAGAATCAAACTGCCTACCTGTCCGAACGCCTTCAAATCAAGGCCACCATTATCAGCAACAGCGTGGCATCAGCCTGTTTCCTTCTTCCCCCTTGTCACGCCACAGCCAACATTAATAACATCCGTCTGTCCATCTCTGCGAACACCCGCAAAACAAGGCCAAAATCATCAGCATCAGCCTGTTTACATCTTCGAATACCCGCAGCTGGTCTACACCCCAAACCAACGCGGGCATCATCAGCAACAGGCTGTGTGCCATTACGAGTATGACCCGCACCAAGCTCGGCAGCATCAGCATCAGCTTGTCTTCGTCTTGGAACACCCCCAAACCAAAGCTCAGCGGCATCATGTCCGGCTGTGTACATCTTCCTGTTCAAAAACGCCCAAAACAAGGCCGGCATCATCAGCGTCAGCATGACTACACCGCCGTACACGCCCACACTGAGGACAGCATCATCTGCGTCAGCCTGCTTCCGTCTTCGACCACTCCAAAACCGAGGCCCGCATCATCAACATCAGCCGGTCTATGGTTTCGAAGAACGCCAAGTGAAAGCAGGCTCCATCAGCAACAGCCTGTACCGGCTGTGCTCTCTATTACGAATAACCCGAACCAAGCCCGGCCGTCTACATCCTGGAAATCCCCCCGAAACCACAGCTCAGCAGCATCATGTCCCCTGTATACATCTTCTTCCTGTTCGAACAAGCGCAAACAAAGGCCGGCATCATCAGCATCAGCATTGCTACATCTTCGCACACGCCTACGCCAAGGCCGGCATTACCAGCGTCAACATGCTGACATCTTCGAACATCCCAAAACTAAGGCCCACATCACCAGCATCAGCCGGTCTACGGTTTCGAACAATGCCAAATCAAAGCAGGCTTCATGAGCATGCTGCATGCTTCTTTCTGCGGACACACCAGTCAGTCAGTCTCTTCACCCGCCCCCGACCAGCATCATCAGCATCAGCTTGCTTCCATCTTCGAACACCCCCGGACCAAAGCCGGCATCATCAGAATCAGCCCGTTGACATCTTCGACTACCTGCAAACGCAGGCCAGCATGATCAGCATGACTTTGAGTATGTCTCCAAGCAACCCCGAAGGCAACGCCTCACTATTCACAACAGCTTGTCTACGCCCCCAGCATCATCACCATCAGCCCACCTGCGTCTTCAAACACCCCCCTTACAGTCCACAAACCAGGCCCGGCATCATCAGCATCAGCGTGGCTACACGCCCACACGAAGGCCGACATCAAGCGTCAGGCTGCAAACCAAGGCCGACATCATCAGCATCAGGCGGTCTACTGCTTCGGACACAGCCAAGTGAAAGCCGCATCAGCCGGTACTCCTCTTCGGAAGCCCCGAATCCATGAGTCTCCTCAATCATCCTGAAAAGCCCAAACCGAAGCCAGCATCATCTTTCCTACGTTTTCCTATCCCTGAAACCCGAGACACAGTGGCCGAAGACTCCACAGTCTTACGTTGACCAAGCGCCTGACCTGGAGACGGCCGCTTTCTTCCTCTCTTTCCGCGTCATCTTCGGGGCACCCTGGGCATGGGAGGATCCAAGGAACGAAAATATTCGATGAAACCTCCAATTCGAGTGATTTGGGAGGCGTGAGTCAGGATTCCACTCCATGTCACAGTCAAGGTTGACAGATCGGGGCTGCTGCGGTGGCATCAAGAATTGTCACCACGCACCCAACTCTCAAGAAACACGAAAAGGCGAGGCAAAGAGCAGTGACCGTGAGCAGCTGAGGACATCTTAAGCACGTGTTTGTGCTTGGTTCTATAGTTCCACCGCCCTGCATCTATAATCGATATCTGTATCTTGCCAATTTGAAACTGCTGTCCAAGGCCACCCTTGAACCACAAATTCTTTCGCCGCCGTTCAAAGAAGTACCCCAAACCCCCAAACCCACAACCCAAAACCGCAACCCATACTCTGCAAAACCCAAACCCTAGGCTGTGAACCCTACCCCTAAGCCCTAAACCTGCCCCTCAACCCTGAACCTCAAACCCGAAGCCTAAACCGCTCAACACGAAAATGCCGGTGCAGTCCCAGGTGCCGGAGGCAGCGAGCCTCTTCCTTTGCCCTTGCCTTTCCCTGGAGCGAGGCCGTCTGCTGAGGGCTGTTGCTTTTGAACGGCTAATTAATTTGCAACTGCTGGATGCGGCCATGATTACTCCCGACTCACGAGAGCCTATGGAGACGGGATACAGCAAGCAAACTTCCGAATACGGTCAAGACTCGTCCGCGTGGAATGCATGTGGGGTGAAGAGTTGGGGGTAGATGCGGGCTTGCAGGCTTCAGGGCACAGAAGATTTCAGTTTAGGCCTCATGGGATCCTGCGATTCAGCTTCCGACATGATAAACATAATGATAGCTGTTGCTGAAGATACTGTCATGGCCAATGGCTGCTGTTGTTGATACTGTTGCTATTACTGACATAATTGTAGCTATTCCATGAGGTTGTGGCATGCAGGGCAACGGCATAAAAACCCACAGACTTGTAGGCGTCAGCAGACCCACGCTGGTTTGGCATACCGTGCATGACATGCTTGGGAGCCTACTGCACCACTATGAAGGGAAGCATATGGTATGCCAATGTGGAGTCTGTCCGTGCGAACCGCTGCAACATTAAATGAACCCTTCTCGAACTGTTAGCACGTCGCTTGAAGCAGGGGCAGCGGCCCTTCCCATCTTCGGCGGAGCCTGGTGCCAAGGAGGATTTGCTGAGGCGTTCGGTTTTCAAGCTATGGTCTTTCATCACCGACATGTTCAAAGGGCTGTGCATCGAGGACCTTATGACACCTTCGTCGATACTTTTTGCTCGCAGGTCATCGCTCCCTGATGGTAGCCGCTGTGGCACCTTGGCAGTTTCTCTGCAAGAAATGGCCCAGTGGCGGTTCTTCCGGCTTTGAGGTGAAGCCTACTGATCATGTGTCCCCGACTTACAAGACTGACAAGACCTGAGATAAGTTTCCCAACCGATCAAAATCTGTGCGCATTTAGTTGGACGAAGCTTTACTACAAGCAACATGGGGAAGACAGCGGCAAAACCGACCTTAGCCATCCCATTGCTACGCTGCGGCACGGAAGATCTTCACCGTCTGCTGGCGCACCTCCATCGGGCAGTCGGCCTGCACAAGAGCTGAGGATGCGTCAGACAACTGTGCCCCGAAGTCAATGTCCGTGTGCTTGGGTGCTGATCTTTCCGGGCAGAGGGAATGGGGCCGTGAATGTGAAGTAGCTAGCTGTGCTGGATGTCTCAGAAAAATTTCACCAATACATGCAACACATGCGCACACCGCAATTATATATCTTGTCAAGCCTGCTGAGGACCGGATCCCAACTCATGACAACAGAAAACTCTGATTTTGGGTGCTGCGGGCTGTGGTGGCGGCGGTGGTGGTGGTGGTGGCGGCGGCGGCGATTTCTGGTGCTGCCTTCTGTTGCTGTATATTGCTGTTTCTTGACAGATTAGTCGAAGCCCACCTTGTAAAAGTCCTCTGCCAGACCCAGGAGGTCCTTAGCAGGGACAGTTTTGGTTGCGGTCAACAATCCATCGCAAGTGAAAGTATCGGATAGGGAGGCGTTGGAAATGAAGTTTGGCTGGAAACGCAGGTCGCACTGCTAGAAGCTGATCTCAAGATCAAGGCTAGTAGGCCGGGCTTTTCTGCAAGCGCTTGGGGTCGCTCCTGGTAAGCTTGTCTTGTGGACCCAAGCCCGCACCCAAGCAAGACACCAGACCAACGCAAAGGCACCAGACCGTCGTCCGCATCAAAGAGCGTCGCGGCCGATTCGGATATGAGCTCCTTGAGGCGATGGAACTGTCAGAGTTCTCCCCCCCCCCATATACATACATATATATATATATATAATATATATATATATACCCTAAACCCTAAACCCTAAATCCTTTGGCTCAGTGAGACCCCAAAAAAAACTCGATGGTGCCAGAACTCGCAAAACTTCAACAGCCGATTCCCAGCAGTCATTTCGCATCCTGTCAGCCAGTGTGCTGCCACGTCCACGTATCAATGGAGCCTCTGGCACAAACCAAAGCTTCAGACGAGACTCTGTCAGAATCTCCATGTGCCTGCGCGGGCATTCAACAAAGGGCAAATCCAGAAGCTGAAGATCCGAAAGACAGACAACCGCGCATCAGACGAAGGGAGACGGAACCACACCTTTTGCCGAGCCTTCAGCCTTCAGTATTCCTTTCGGTCGCTTGATGCACAGATGACTACTCACTTCAACTCTGACCTGACTCTCCTCAAACCTGTTATGGACTGTTCTGGTACCTGAATCCCAGAATCCACAAGCATCAATCACACACACCGAACCCAGAATCCAGAACTACAAGTGAGAGCGAGAAAAAGCCCGGAAGACAGTCGAGACCATGGCTGAAAGATCCTTCTTCTCTCCCTGCATGCCGCATTTAAGGCCTTTGTCCCTGTTGCTTATCCCCAAGGCGCCTGGTAACCGAGGCCTGTCTTTGGGCCGCCAGGCGACGGAAGGGTCCACAGAGGAAGGGACCCCGACCCGGAGCCTGCGTCGAAGGCTGTGTAATACTCTGGTGGACAGTGACCATACGCACGACCACCGCCACCACCGCCACCACCATCATGATATCACCACCACCATGATCGCGCTTGATTCGATCGTCATCGAGACTGGGCGTGACCACAGCGTTTTCCTGAAAGTCCTACTTCCGCACATGCCTGTGGGCTGGGTAAACGATGTTCTAAAGGGGCATGACGAAGTGCTCAGGTCTCTGCAGCGCAATACCTGTTTTGGTTGGTGCAGCCCGTCCCAAAGACTTCAATTCCAACCGGCCCAAGCAGATAGCCTGCCTACACTACGAATGGTGTTGCGAGTCCCTGCCTCAGCAGCTCCACTCAACGGTCCTTCGGGCTCGCCACCTGGGCGGGAGGCAGCTTCGATCTGGAATCTCTTGGCTTGGCTTCGATGATGCCACTGCCCTGAGTATACTCAGTGCTAGAAGGCTCGACCAAAACACAACCGAAAGACTGCAGGCGCTTCAAGGCTTTCAGATCCGTCCACGACATCAACCAGGTACGCCTTGACATCCCAAAAGCCTCTCTGACAGGTTGAGGATAGCACTGAGCAGGGCATCTCGAATGTGAGTGCCTTGGCAAAGGCTGGCGGCAGGGCCACGGACAAAACATCAGCAACGCTACCAAAAGCCTTCGATTTCTGCGAGCCGCCAGCTTTCACGAAGAGAGCCCAAAGGGTCGGCAGCCGAGGGAGAACGGTTCCATCGCCTGTGGCAATCACTCAATGAGGGTTCAGGGTTTAGGCTCAGAATTCAGGGGGAATCCGGGCAGCAAACCACAATGCACCGGCGCCTTGGATACGCTTGCCGATGTACCTCATGCAGCTTCGGATCCGGACTCAGGCTTCTGCTTGCTTTCGGCTCAATGCTACTCACTGAGACAGATCCCTCTGCCGAGATGGTCTGATTCCGGAGGCTGAGAGGCAGAGGCCCAGGGTGCAGCAAAGCTGCGCCTGCAAAACGGCCATGCTTCGAGATGTCTGCAAGCCTCAGCTGCGGCCGCGGATCATCCCAAACCGCTCTGAAGCCGACATGCGAAAGCTTTGTGATGCCGGACTTCCACGTCAAGGAGCGAAGCACCGAACTCCGAGCGAGCAGCTGGCAGTCCTGAAGGAATGTAGAAAAGCAATCAATACCGAACTCAGCGATTCCAACGCACGCCAGTCTTCCGCTGCATGAATGACTAGTGGGCCTAGCACTCAGTGGTTGTTATGTCCCACAGACAAGTCCATGGGAAGGAAGCACCCCACTTCGAACCCCGCAAATCCTAAAACTGCGCATCCCCAAACCCCAACCACCCAGAGCTCCGGAACTCTCCAGCAATCCCCCGTTATGTCTGCGAGGCTCCCTTGCAGCTGCAGAGGACTCCGCACTGGGGGCCTGTCTGCAGCGCCCATGGTTTGGGTGCTCCGACAGGCTTCCCTAAACCCTAAACACTACGTAAGACTTGGAGCTCTGGGAAGCCGTTCGGGATTTGGAAGGCCCGGCTTGGAGCTTTGGTTTCAAGCTTCCGTCGATCCTACTGTTAGGATTTAGAGGCGGCAGACAAGTCTAACAACAGCCCCTGGAAAATGAAATCAGCAAAGAAGCAGCAGCCTTGCAACCTCCAAGCCTCAGAGCAGATGCTCCGAATCACCCTCTGGTCCCACCATGCCTCGTCCAAGCGTCGCAGCACAGCCTCGTCGTCGAGGCCCTTCCTGGAGTCACTCAGCGGTTCGTCAATCCTTTGGGCTGGGGGCTGGGGCCAAAACCGAAGGCTCTTATGGCTGACACCCCAAATCCTGCAGAAGCCCTTAGACAACGTCGGCACCGAGCAGCAGCGTCACGGCAGCTTTGGCCAGTCGCTTGAGGCCTCGGTGTAAGGGCTTATGTTTGCTCTGGAAAACGCTTAGAGGGTAACCTGGGAGTGACAGGATAGAACCGGGGGGTTTTCGGGTCCCGGGGATTGTTGAGGATCTTAAGACGCCAAAGCAGCTGAAATTGCAGGCCAGGATGCTCTCCGCGGCTTCGTGCTGATCGCTGATCTTTCGCAGCCAGAAACCTTTTCGGGGGCTAACAGCACCACTGCCCAAAAGCTGCAACCCACAGCCTGTACCGGCAACATCCACTACTTGGTTTGCATGCACACATCTGCTGCCTGACCCCACCACCACACAAGCACCATATTCACGATTATATCTCATGCTTGATAAGCTGCTTAACGGCTTGACTTTAGTACTTTGGTAATCCACTTTGCCGTTCGTGCTTGCATGATTCTCTATTTGCTTCTGCATTTCACTCATTAACCGCTTGAAACAATGCTTGCTTTTGCACATGCTGTGTCAGTGTTCACTTTGTACTCGCTTGCTTTCACCATGCTTCACGGGCGTTTTGCCACACCTTCCTTTCTGGATGTGGCTCCCTCTGCCTTGCTCCGTGTCAATATTCTGGCGGCACTGTAGATTCACCCTAGATGATGTTTTATTGTTGCTGATATGCCTGCCAATGCATGCGCTCGTTCTGATGTCTTGATATTGTACGGAGCCTCTCGCTGAATCAAAATGCCCCAGAAGCCAAAGAAAAGCTCCCTTCAAGTAACCTGTTCCTGTACTAGCCACTAGTCACTACGTGAAGTCTATTGCATGACTCCCTAAACCCTGGAGCCTAAACCTTCACCCCCCAGCGCACGCAACAGAACAGCTCGCGAACCTTCGACCAGCTGTCGCGGACGGATTAAAGTCACGTCTCTGCCTCTGTGGACTTTAGGGTTTTGGGGCTTAGGGTTTGGGCCTTGTTAGGGCTTTGGCCGTTTATAAAGTTTAGGGTTTAGGATAAGTCTCACATGATTGGGAGCGAGGAGGTGTGAGTTTAAGCTCGGAGCTTGGGGCACGTGGGCCGGCACGTGGGTTTCAGGCTGCATGCTTTGAATTTAGGTCCTGGATCCGCTGCCTGAGCCGGTAGAAGCCTGAAACCCTAAAACCCCGAAACCCTAANNCTGCGAAGCCCTAAGCCCTAAACCCTGAAACCCTAAACCCTAAACCGTAATCCCTAAACCCTAAACCCTACACCCTGGAACCCTAAACCTTAAAACACACCCAGCACTCGAGCTCCGGGCCGGGAATCTCGAAGGTGGAGCCTGCCTCAGGCGCGGGAGAAAGTACCCGGCACCACCGTTCCCCGGAACCTACGAGTTTAGGGTTTAGGGTTTAGGGCCTGTAACTTGGCCTTCTGCTTTCCGTTGGGGGACCCATAAAGCAAATCAACTATGAACATGCTCCAGGAAACACTTCACACACCTCCCTCCAAAACCTCATTTACAAACACACATCAAACAGCAAAGAGCACCAAGGACCCCGCAACGGCGAGGCCCACAGCCATCTCCCGGGCCTCACGGTCCGCCGCGTAGGCAGCCTCTGGAGCTTTTAGGGCTTTGGGCGTTTAGGAGCGTAGGGTTTAGAGTTTAGGGTTTTGGGCATCGTCGAATCTTAGAACCGGTTAGTTTGTGCCGCTTATGAAAGGGATTGATATCGGGATTTAGGTGTAGGGCTTCTCAGCCGCCCCACCAACCTCAAGCAACTGCAAAGGTGGCATAACAGATCCACCTAGAGGATTTTGGAATTGCACTGCGGTGCCCAATGCCAACACCTCAAACGAAACCCTCTAGACACCCATCCCCAAAAGGCCTCAAACCCTAAAGCCCAAAGCACTCGATCCACTGATCCTTGACATACTATACTATTCTATACTGTACTATACTATACAATAGTGTACTATACTATACTGTGCTCTGTACCTTATTTTGGGGTCCGTATAATAAGGATCCTACTATTTAGGGTACTATATTAGGGTCCCCTATTTTCGGAAACCCCCATACACTGATCCGTGTTTGGCAGGTTGCGGCTGCGCTTTCAGAGCAGGCTCTTGCCAGGAGGCGGCTCGGCTCCTTGCGGAGACACCGGGCTTCGAAGGAGTCTTGTCTTGGGTGTTAGGGTTTGGGGTTTGGGGTTTAAGGTTTTAGGGTTTGGGGTTTACGATTTAGGGTTTAGGGTTTGGGGTTTGCCGCGGAACGGCAGGTAGGCGACAGTATCTTGCGACAAGGCTGTGTCGAGTGCATCGTACCATGGCGATGAGCTGTGAAAAGGCTTTTCCTTCATTCTCTCCCACCCCACGTCGTATGAGGGGGCCAAACCGCCCAAACCTATTCCTTTTAGGGTTTAGGCCTGGACTCATGCCAACACTCGGGTAAGCTTAGGGCAGGGCAGGGCGTTTGAGGGGCTGGGTCAGCCTGGGGTTCCGGTACCGGGTCCGATCTGGGTTGTAGTGGAGAGGCGGGCTGGCGTACTGGTCTTCCTTTGGCCATCGATTGCGAGGGGCTTAAGCGCCCCCACAATAGGCTGGTGGCCTGTGCCTTGATTTTGCCTTTGCGGTTTAGGATTTACGCTTTGGGTTTGGGGTAGGGGTTTGGGGCTTAGGGTGATTTCTCGGTGTATATGATAGACGACGTCTCGATGCCGGGCTTGATTTGAGCGTCGACTTTCACACCTGGCCGGAACAGACAGACCCAGGCTGCGGGTCACGACCAACCTCTGTAAGAGTACTAATCATCATGTTACATCTTGGTAATAAACAAAACAATTATTCTCATCATCACCATCATCATCACCATCTTCTTCTTCTTCATCATCACAAGTAGTATTCTGACTGGAATCCTGATCTGCCAGAGCGAAAGCCCGCAGGCGCCGAAGCTGCTCTGTTCCTCCTCTGTGCTGAGCTCTTTGGCGAGGGCCAAAGCCTTGTCGATGCGGCCTGCATCGGAAGAGAGGGTTTAGAGTTTTAGGCTTTAGGGTGTTCAAGCATAAAATATGAGCACGTGCTTACGTGTACAGGGAGCGAGAAAGAAAGGGAGATACATGAAAATACATTAGTGGGGAGGACTGACTGCCCGATCTGGATCCAACGAATTTCTTCAGAGCAGTCCTACCCCCTTATCGAGCAAAATCAACGGCGGATGTGGTGTGCCCTATTGGGTACCGAATGCCCTGAGAACCCGCCACTCCCGAATGCACAAATCGCGGTAGCGACCTCGCTTCACGGATTCCAGCGCTTCGCTTAGCCTCAACGACACTGACACGCTTCGGGCTTCGGCGTTCGAGGGGATGATCTTGTTTAAGGCTTAGGGACATCGGCTACAATGAAGGGTTTTAAGGGGCTTTGCAGTGCACGTGATCCGTCTGCAGGATTGAGTTTCGGAGCTTCGGACATAAACTTGGAGAGTTGCAGTCCGACTCTGCGGGAGTTTTGAACTTGCGAGTTGGGACAATGGGCCTCGACAAAATCTGAAAGTCTTGCGTTCCAAGTTACAGAAAGAAGAACGACCTACACCCCCAAATCCTGCAGAACTCTAAACCGCCCAAATCACCCCCCGACGACCCCGAAAGCCGCAACCGAACACGTGTAAACTTAGAACCAAACAAGGAAAATTTCAACACCTGATAAACGATAGAATCCCAAAGCCCAAACTCGAAGCCCAAACTCGAACCCAGAAAGCCAGAACCCCCAAAGCAATGCTTCCTCCAAAGCTCCTAAACCCTAAATCCTACAAAAAGCAACCCTTAAACCCTATGTACGTAAGACCTTTATGTA